GCTGAGGGGTGCAGAAAAAGGTACTCCTTTAAAAGGGGTGACATTGAGCAGAGCCTTGAGGAAAGAAAGGACGTTGGTGAGTGAGAGGTATAGAGAGCAGGCCAACTTGGCTGCCTCATGGGTCTGTTGTGAGCTGTGCACATCCAACCCTTGTAAATCAAGGGGCCCCAAACAGCTTGGGGAGACTGGCTTACCAGATCCCTCGGTGCTGGGGGAAACCCAGGGGCTGGAGGCAGATCCTCAGGAAGCAGTATTCAGGATGCATGTCGGCACAGGCAGCCAGGGAGAGACACAGAGGAGGGAGACGGGTGGGGGAGAGGGCTGGGGAGGATGGAGAAGTCACTGGAGAGGCCACTACACTGGGCCCATGGGACCAGCAGCACAGCATTTTGTGTCCATTTTCTGGCACTGAGGTTTTCCCATGAACACTTAAGTCCATGCTGGTCCCATCACTTGGCCCCTGGGACCAGCAGCACAGCAGGATGATGTCTCAGTATCTTCCTCGTTTTCTCAATTCTGTTCTGACTCTGGAGGGTGGGGGCAAGTCTGTGGTGTGTGTTCTTGGATACTGTAGCTCGAGACAAGTCAGCAAGGAGAGCAGGATCTCTGCTCTTCCAGAGTACTGGGGCCACACGCCAGGCTTTCTACCTGGAGGCAGAACCCCAGGGGCCTGTGGCAGCCCATCTCTAGCTCCAGAACTCAGAGTTCATTTCCTGGCTCTTCTGGCATTGGCTCGCCCCTACAGGGCCACCAGGGTTACTTTGGACTATGGTCTGGGCTGAAGGTTGGGAAAGTAGCACTGGTGGGTTGGGGTCTAGCTCTGTCTGTAGCTGAGTGATGACCTTGGGCTAGTTGCTCCCCTCTCTGGGCTGCACTCTCCCCCTTGGACTAGACCAATGGTTACCCAAGTGCTAGCATATTTCACAGAGTAACAGTGTTACCCAAGAACAGCTGTGGCTAAGGAATTTGGGGAAACCCTAAATGAAGGGAGTCCCCTTGCTGCAGGATTATAGAGAGCCTTTTCTGCACTTCTTAAATCCCCCGGAGGGGACTGTAGCATGCAGTATTTGCCAAACTGACCTGACCAGGGCACCCCATTATACAGAGCTTCTCACCATTGGTATTCTGAAGGGCCCGTCTCAGGATGTGCTAGCCAAGAAGTCTCCAGGGGTGTTCCTAGCTCTAAGATTAAAAAAACGTAACCACCAGATGTCCAGTGATCCTTGCCTCCTGGTATATCCTGTGTAAATCCCCGGTATATGCTGGACTTACTGATGCACTTCTATCTAAATAAGAGTATTGCAGAAATGACAGGATGTCACTTCTGAGATTAACTTATTAAAAAGCTGTGGCTTCCATACTGGGTGCTTCTTTTCTCCTTCCCTCTCTCTCTCAATCTCTCTCCCTCCCTTCCTCCCTCTGACTCGCTCCCTCCATGTCTTTACCACCTGCTCTAACATGAGGACACCCAGGCAGCCTATGGCCAGCAGCCCTGTCAGTGAGCTTGGAAGCAGACGCTCCAGTATGTCAAACCCTGAGGTGACTGCAGCCCTGGCCAACAGCTTGAGAGATCCCGGGCCAAAGGCACCCGTTCAGCTGTACCCAGCTCTCCCTTCTGGCCTGGCCCCTTGGCTCCCAGTGGGGCCTCTCCCAGGAATCCTTAGCCCGTCCTCCGCTATCCTCACCCTGCGTGCTCTGGGCAGCCAACTCTACCCAGTACTCGCTACCTCATCTACATTTGGCCCCCCATTTCAACACCTCCCTCATCTTCATTTTTCTCCCGTAATTATATTCAATGGCCACTCAGAAGCCCCAAACCGATCTTTCCCATGCCTGCCCCAACGATGATATGCTCATTCAGAATGGGGCAGGGCAAGTGTTGTTGGTTAGGCATGTAGACAGAACCCCAGCTATGCTGCCTGGCATACTCCAGCAGGGCACCCCAGCCTCAGCTGGCCAACGCCCTGATTGAAGGTATGTTTGCAGGGCCACTCACCAGTTTGGAGAAGCGTCCAAGGTCTCAGTCTAACTCCTAATATACCCCCACCATGAGGGGCTTGGGGAGGGGCAGAACAGCCGTCAGTCAGGACGAGAATAGAGGCCAGAGACTGGGACCCTACCCAAGAAGCCAGTTCTGGCTCTGTCAGCTCCCTGTGGGACGTGGGGCAGGTCTGAGGCTGCCGGGTAAGGTAGGATTTCCAAACACTTCCTTTTTTCAGAAATAGAATTCTTATCAAATGTAACACTAGAAGAGCCCAATAGCTAGCAAATAAGGGGAGCTGCTGATTGGGGGTGGAAGGTACAGGGAGGCTGGGGTCCTGCCCGCAGGGCTCCCCACTCTATTGCCTCCTGTGGGCCCCACTGTCCCTCTTATTTGATTCCACATCACCCCAGACCTTCCTCCTGCCCAAGGCTGTGTGCGCTCCATGCCCTCTTCAAGAACCGCCATCAAGCTCAGCTCTGAGGCCCTTCCATCTCCAGCAGTGCCTACCTAAGCCCTGCACAAGCATCAGGAGGGAGGCAGAACTGAAAAGCAGTAAACAGGATTCTAGTCCCAGCTTAAACCTGGCATGGCAGGTCAAGGATTCGCATGTGCTCAAGCTGAGAGTTTGGGAGGGAAACAAGAATTCACAAAGGTGGGCCAGGGGCTGCCATTGATTTTGCAGTGAGAATAATGTTTATTGAGAATGGCTCATTAAAGACAAAATATATATATATATATATATATATATATATATATATATATA